CCGTGTGACTTCTTCCTCTTCCCCAAGATGAAAATTCAGCTAAAGGGAAGGAGATTTGAGACGATAGAAGAGATTCAGGGAGAATCGCAGATGGTGCTTGACAGGCTGACAAAGAAAGATTTCCAGGGATGCTTCCAGGCTTGGCAGCGGCGCTGGGATCGTTGTGTTCACTCCCAGGCGAACTACTTCGAGGGTGATGGATGAATTTAATACCTGAGATAAGTGTACGGGTTTTTATACGCGCAGTCCTGAAACTTTCAGATCGCACCTCGTAAATGTGCAATGGAAGTTATTGTGAAAGTGTAATTTCTTTTAGTTTGTTACAACGTGTTTTCTTACTAGCAAAATTTATTTCTTGTGTGTATGGTATTATGAGAACTTGGCTGTATTTCCATTGATTATATGACACAAACAAATTTGAAGTAAGAAACTACAGATTTATTTTTCCACAGTCAGCAAAATACTGATAACAGAAGAGGCAGCAGTTTCCAAGTTAGAAATTTCACTTGCAGCATGGGAAGGGTTAGAAAAGAAAGTAGAATAATTTTTTCAAAGTTTAAAATGTTAGTATAACTTTAGAGTTATGTTTAATTTACATAATTATGCTTTGTTAACTACATAAATTATATCTCACCAAGTGGAACAGCATTTGAAAAGTATGAACTGCAAAAGATGTGGACAGAAATTGTAAATGGACTACTTTGGATTATCATATCACCATTTGCTGGAAGGGCTGAGGATAACCATGAGAAATATCAGTCAAATAGCTGGCATGTGGACTGAGACACAAATATTCACCCACTCACTATGGGCTACTTAATTGACTCTGACGACAAGTACATTTTTAAGCTTGGTCTAAATGTATACGTGAATAGAATTTGTAAGTAGCTAACAGTGGATTTAAATAGTATTATGGAGCCTTGTGTGTGTCTCCCACATACAAAGCATGAGTGCTAACCAATCAGTCATGATATTAAATAATGGACTGGTGTGAGTGTTGATTTATATGTTAACTGTTACAGCACATCCCAATGTTTGTTTGTTCATCTCCCATGGTGGAAAGCTTAGTTCACAAGAATCCATTTACCATGGAGTACCTATTGTAGGAATGCCTTTCTTAGCTGATCAGTTTGCAAATGTTGTGAAACTCGCTACACGTGGTGTTGGAGTAGAGCTGGTATATCATACACTCTCAAAACAATCTGTTCTTAATGCTGTACATACAGTTGTTGGAAACCATAGGTAAGTTCTAGACAAATTAAGCAAAATCAGTTTGTATCAATGTTTTACTTTCTGAACATTAATACGTCATATTATGCTAATTATATATTTGTTTAAATCTTGTCAGTCTAATCACAATAAAATTCCTATTAAATATTAAAATATTACTATAATTAACATTTAAATATTTAAAATATATTAAATGATGTTCTCTATCGAAATGTTCGATTTACATTAGATCATCACTTTTTTACACGACATGTTTCAGTTCTAAAAGAACCATCTTCAGGTGTATAAAATTATATAAACTTAAATATAATTTAAACATCATTTAATATATTTTAAATATTTTAATGTTAATTATGATAATATTTTAATATTTAATAGGAATTTTATTGTGATTAGACTGACAAGATTTAAACAAATATTAATATCTTATAATTAATTCTAATGTTTGCTGGTGGTTCCGCTATTAAAGAAGAATTTTCTGTTATGCATCCACATTACAACTTTTTATTAGAGGTCTCATATCAGTATCAGAACTCACAAGGAGACCTGGTTGATTGAAAACCTTCGATTTAGCTTTGATTTTGCAATATGGCGTGGACCCTTCTCTAATTTCATGGCTAAAATATTAAGTGATGACATCAGACTCTTTCTTTGTCATACACAATTTTATTTTTCAAGTTTGTTCACTGTTACTTCATAAGTCTCATAAGAGAAGATTCACTTACGTTGCTCGTGATAGCTTAGTTGGTACATAGTAAAGATTGGATTAATCTGATTCAGGACAGAGACCAGTAATGGACTCTTAATCATGGTAATGAACTCCTGGTTGCAATAAAAGGCGGGGAATTTATTGACCAGCTGAGAGATTACTAGCTTCTTAAGAGGACTTTGCTCTGTGAAGATAGTTAAGGAGGTATCTGTTAACTTCAGTGTAGATCTGTCCTTTTTCCAGTGTAACTGAAATCCTCTGAGTGGTTCAGGAAATGAATTTTGTAGACAGACGTATCGACAAGTTACTAAGAAAACAAACTGTGTGTACACTGTACGACTGCCATTTAAAAAATGCAAAATCATACAATAAACATTTTCATACAGATCTGAGCTATGCTACAAGGCATTTCTGAGCTTCCCTCAGTTAACTGCATACTTCTAAAGACTTTATATAATTTAAATTTGAAAGGTCTGAATAGGTTTTTAAGTAACTTGCTATGTATTGTAGTTACAGAGACAATATGAAGAAATTGTCAGCTATCTTCAGAGATCAACCAGAGACACCACTGAAGCGAGCTATTTTTTGGACTGAATATGTGTTACGGCATGGAGGAGCACCTCTTCGTTCTGTTGGTGCTGACTTACCTTGGTATCAGTATTTTCTGTTAGATGTCATTGCAGTTCTGTTTATAGGCACAACTCTGATGTTTGTATTGTTTGGTTTGGTTTTAACAACTATATACAGATTCTTAGTGCCGGCTACTAGACGTATAAAGTCAAAACAACAGTAAAATATGAATCTGAGTTATAGGTAAATTGTTGGTTTAACAAACATTCTTGTAGTCCTTGCTCTCTTGTCTATACATATACATGCAAACTATTTTTTTAAAAAAATATTCATATTAATAAAAATATTCCAGTTTTACATTCCATAACTTAGTCCCTATGCACAGATTTAATAAAATCAAAAGAAACGCACAGCAGTTTCCTGCAAAGGACCCAGTCCTCCATTCTCGCTGCCTTAGAAAGGGCAGATTTCTGTTTCTTACTCGCCCAGACTGGGCTCCCATCTTTCTGCCCATCCCCATGATTTTGATTGACTCTGATCGCTGCTCATTCCTCCTCCATCTAACCTTATATAACTCAACTAACCCTTCTCACTTCAGCTCTGAACATGGAGACAGCATGTTCTCTTGTTGGTGTCCACTTACAAGTCCACATGGCATCACAGCTCAGAAGACCACATTGAAAATGTGACCACTGCAAGAAACCTAACCTCACATTCTTTATTTCTCTAGTAACAAATCAAATTAATATTTTAATTTAATAATTACATACATTTTTTTATTTTTTTCAACGTGCTTTCCATCACCATTGTTTATAAATAATGCAAGATGTCTAAATAAACAGATTTCATTTCACTGTACTTGCTTGGCTAAACAATTTCATGTATGCACTAATGATCTTGGTTGGTTACTGATTTAATACTTTGCAGTCCATATATTTTGATAAATGGAACCTTATCAAGTTATCTATCATTTATTCTAAATTTCAAGTGTCAAGCTCAGTTTGACTTTGGGTTGGAACGTGGCTTTTCAAATATCACATAAATTCTGGTGCTGAGGTTCATTTATTTGAACACAAGACAAACACCATACTGTTTGGATTGTCGGACTGAAACGCCATTTGGAAATTAAATTTCTACTCGCATGAGACCAGATCCAACAGATGACTCAAAAGGGTTTAAAATTTCACTCAGTCTTACTTCTTGTTCATGACTGCTAGCACACTAAACAATTAACCTTTATTGACCATGTCACATGGTCCAGCTAGATATGCGTCACACTACCCCATGCTAAATTGCAAACCCTAGAGTTGAAGTTCAACCTGCAGCCCTGTAGTATGGGGTTTAAATATCAAATTCTTGTACAATAAAGATTAAAACAAATCTTAATCAATTCTTATACTTAGGTTTTTGCAGCTGGAGTACTGTACAACTTCAGCTTGCGTGAATGAACCACATCAAATGCTGAAATTTATCCGTTTCAGCCAACGTAGCAGTTGCCATTTTCAGGGTGAATGTGTGTTGGTTTTTTTTTGTTTTAATCTCATGTAAGGCAGGTATTAGATGGCGAGTGAGATGTGATGAATATGTCTGGCAGAGGGGAAGAAGCGGCTACTGTGTTATGGTCAAGGGATTACGAGTGAGGATGGATCGTTCAAAGTGACCGACTCGCTCTCCTTCAATGAGCGGATCATTCGATGAGCGCACTCCTCACTCCCTGGCCACGATGGCCACAAATGAATGCTATTTCCAGTCAAATTGAACCGATCAGAATCAAGACAGTTGAGCTCTTGCTCGCCTGACCAATGAGACTGATGAACACACTGGCTCGTATGAACGGTTTCAATATATATACATCATTAGCTTTTTGGTTGGTTGTTTGGTTGTCTGGTGTCAGTGAACTGGTCGGACTCACTACTGCTGGGACTTTGCTGATTTCCTTCAGTATTCGTCTGTTACCAAACAGGAATATAATTTTATAAGGTTAGATCCTGTCCACGTCACAGGGCGCAGGCTGGTATAGTCGTCGGCTTCTCACCAGACACATTTTCAGGGTAGATGTTAGTTGTGTAGACCTGATTGGTTCTGTTGCATCTCCGTCTTCCACTCCTTTCTCCCCATTCCTCATCCCACACACCCACAGGAAGAACCCGAATTGGAATATGGTTGAAGTGACACCACAATTAATACACTTAGGTACAGTTCGTGCGAACCATCATTATTCTCTAATGACAAGAATCTGCAGCATAAAAAAAAATTAAGTTGTACGAAACACAGAAGAGTCCAAACAAAACAAAAAGCATAATAAATTGGTTACCTATACCTGAAGATCTGACAGTAGGGGATTCCCGAAATAAGCATGAATTTCATCAACATGTCGCTTCCCATTTTAAAACAACTAAGATGAAGTCTGTTTTCTTGTTAAATTATTTTTATTGTGGGCTCAGATTATACTGTTAAAATAATAAATATTAATTAAATTAATTCATGATTAAAATTAACAGAATTTAATTAAAGCACTTTCCTGTGATTTGTCACAGTGAGTCCTATAGGGAACTTGGCCAGCGACACATTACACAGTTGTTGGAAAATCTGTGGGGTAATCACCTGTTGTAACATGTTTCTGTAAATTCGTTCGTGATAAAATATTTCTCATGATTTTACTTTACGACTTTTCTTGAATGAATTACAAGATTATACTGCAGTGTTTGGCTTTCTTGCCTATAGATTGTACCTTCCCCCCGCCCCTTTGTGCAGTCCAGTCCATATCCCTCTGCCTTTTCAGCAGTCATCTAAGAATTTGGCAAATCCCAGGGCATGTTGTTCTTGCATGCTGCTTTGAAAATTCACTGAGAAATAAAATGGGCTATCTTTTATTAAGGAAAAACCACTAATGCATATGTTTTACAGATATATCATGATCTTGTTTACAAGTCTCAGCCTAGTTAAAGGTTGAAGACATATGCTGCTATGTGTATGCTGACTCATTGATATTTTATATGCAAACTGCACATGAACAATTTCATTTGTGAAAGTTATATATTCATTTGAATAAATAATGTTCTGGTAACAGAAGCAGAAAAATAAAGTAATATATTTATTTATGGCTACCAGAAGTAAGTTGGCTTATCCAGTTTCTGTGGTTCTTAAAGTAAGCTAGTGAACTGAAAAATACAACTGGTGTTTGCATATTTTTCCAATGTCTGCTGGACAAAATTCCATAATTAGCAGAATTAGTATGGCCACTCTTACACCTGGTGTCTGTCTAGTCCATTATGATGAACATAATGCCTCTTCAGGAATGAACTCAGAGCCCTTATGTAGGTAGACAAAGCATTGAACTGCCAAGATTAAACAATTTAGTGATATTAAAACTGCAGGTTCAGTATCACTAATAATAAAACCCACCACAGATACTTCCTGTGTTTAATAGTTCAAATTCTACAATATAATTCCTTAAGATACACTGTAATATTAATCTCCAGTGACTCTGAAATATTCTGTCAAAAGTTCATTATGAAATAAATTATTTTAACTGAAATTTCATTTAACATAATTGTGAATATTTGTGTGTGATATGTCAGGAGTGATAGAATGCATTCTGACAGCAAAATAAGTGGAAGAGTTCAAAGCTATTTTTACAGGTTGGGTTTTGACTTTGTTCATAGGTTATTTAAAATGGACAAATTAAGGTGGATTCTGATCTGGCAACTTTCTGGAAGAAATGTGGTTTAGAATACATATTCTGAAAGTTGTTGAATTTCTAATCCCAGTTGCTACTACAAATTATGAGACCAGATCAGATACAATAGTCATAATTAAACTTGTGGCAAGCAATAGACTGGATCATTGTCATGACAATAGATGTACATTATCTGATAGTTTTCTGAATATTGAACATAATATTTGGTGTAAAATACTGTAGGTGTTCACTTTTGTTCAATATAATGTACAAGAAAACAAAAGTAAAGTAATCACAATTCTTTCGTCTGTTGCAGCAGTTCTGAGCCATGTGGGCTATTACTGTTTACAAAAGGAGGGGGCAATAAGTTTTTTTATTTTTTATTTTGATTAAGGGTAACAGTGCCAAAAAGGTTAAGAACCACTGCATTATATGAACTGGATGCGCGTGCTTGTTGTCTGGAAGTACCCAAGAGAGAAAACTATTTTAAAACAATGTAAGACTTACGGCTTTTGCAGCGACTAAATGCAATAAAATCTTCCACTCTGACACAGCTCATCACCCAAGCTTCTATTGCATTTAAAAACTCTTTGATTCATCATGTCACTTTGACTCCCTTTTTAAAATTCATATGCATCATTCTGTACTTAATGATTTGTAGGTTACTGCTTTTTACCAAATGCCAAAATGCCAGATCTTGCAATTCTCTTATCTTTTGGCCCCATCACCATGTCATCAGCATAAATGCATGTGAATCAAAAGGGCACGAGTCAGCATTTTCCAGAAGTAGCATTTTTTATGGAATATCATACCAGAGTTTTGCTTATTGTTATAAAGACAGTGATATCGAAGGAAATTGTTCCAACACTGTAACATCACTATGATGTAGGATATTCTTTATGTAAAAGGTAACTAACATACTATACAATCATTGATTGACTGTAGTGAAGACGGTCAACCGGCAGCCATCGACGTCCATGTGCTTTCCATTTACAGTTTTAGAATCTGTGATTCGTCCGTAGGTTGACGATGTCAGTGAAGATGGACTGCAGGAAGAGTGGTGTGTTTTTGCCAATAATGCTTATTTACTAATTAAATAGGGAAAATTGTGTTGAATTCCAGCTGAAATTATTGCGAGGTATCAGTCTAATGTTTAGCTGTAGTTTTAGTTCGCAGAGGTATATGTTTAATATAGAAAGAATGTATTTACGTAACAGAAACTTGTAATTGACAACTTATATGGAGAATAGGGCATGTTCATGAAATGTTCTGTGATGCATAATTATAGTTGTATATTTATATAGTTAATGTGAGTCGATAATGTGTAATATTGTTTATATTTTATCCTGAAATTTTACCAATGTAAATTGCGATCATGTATGTGTACAAACAAATTCTCCTTGCAACTGATGACAGTGCTGCTGTTTCTGATGGGGTTGTTGCCAGATACGGTAGGTAGGAAAACAAAAATTCGTACACCTTTGTGATAAATTTATTTCTACCAAATTATTACTACCAGTAACAACAATAATAATAACATAAACCACGGTATTTTCATGCTGTCATGTGAGTAGCGATGAGTCTAGCGTGTGGAGACAAAATTAGAGCACAACCCTTATGTTCCATCTTGCCATGCTTCACTGATTAGTACAAAACTTGTTCAGAGAATAATTTATTAAAATTACTTGGGTGCTGTATATGTACTCTGTTCATTGCACCTTAAAATAGTTGTTCATAAATTAGTTAAAAAACGTGACACTTCAGTGGCCTTTATTAATAATATTTTTTATTTAATTCTTTGCCAACTTGCAACAATATTGTTAGAGTTCATGATAGCGGGTGAGGTTCAGTTCTGGCAGGGACATGATTTGTTTCTCTTCACTCACCTATCTGGTGAAGTGTGAGGTTAAAACAGAAGATTTATTAAGTTTTGTCATAACATCACCTGTAGCCTACACAAGTGTAACTTTCAGTGGCCTTGATATTCCTATTCAGTATTTCTTACAACAACAGCATGTGTAAAGTAGTTAAGTGGGCTGCTTGTATATGTAATGCAATGTTATGTTGTGTTCTATTTTTATATAATAAGGTATATGGTGGTGGTGGTAGAATTGAATGTTGTGAGTGGGGTTATCTGACCTTCAGAAATATAGACCATGGTGGTAAATTTGCAATATAATGAAAAGTTGTGTACAAATATTTTATCATATTTTTGGATGTATGTTTATATTTCGGTAATAGATCTTAATTTGGTGATGGATTAAGTTAGTTTTAATTAAATCTTTAATTTATTGTCACTATATACAGTCTCTCACATTAATGCAATGTAACCATCTTATACAACATACATAATATATAATTACAATTAATATTAACATGTTTCTGCAGAAATTGTGCCATCATCAGGGGTACATAGAATAAACATATTAAAGGTTTACAAGATTGTATTTTTTCCAGTTAATTATGGACGTTTTATCCTAATTGCTACATTGCAACATAAAATATCTGATCTTGATGTTTCATGTATGGGTTGTACTGATAATGATTTCAGTTGCTGGGAATGTAATACAGTCAATATTATAATTTAGAACTCATGTAATTACTATATAATTTATACTTTTATATATCTGTTAACAAATGATATGTTTCCTTGCTGTGCTTATGTTCATTGGATTTTATGTGTGCCTTCCAGGTGACTAACATAACCTAATATCCTTGCTGTTTTGTCTTATTCAGATGCATTATGTCTTTGTAGTATCATTATTGTTATGTCTCCTCTATTTTCACTGCTATGTACAGTAGACTGTTACAGTTATTTTTCTGTTTGTTTTGTTGCTTCTAGTTACATAAGTAATAACTTTGTTCTGTATTGGTGATCTGCTCCGTTACCGCATGATTTGTTTTATCCATAACTGAGCTTTGTAATTACTGTATATGATATATGTTGTATAAGATTGTTGTGATACATTAATGCAATATTTTTAAGATATTGTAGATGCGTCATATTGTGATTTATTAAGTATTAAAAATATATTAAAATTGGCCGTCAATCACAATATAAGATAATTAAAAGATTAAAATATAATTTTACGTTCCTTATCGAGTACTCGATTTACATGTGGAACATTTACGACATGTTTCGGCTATATATAGCCGTCATCAGGTGTTATATTATAAACTTTTTAACTGAATTACTGATTTTTACTGATATTTAATGATCCGATACAGTATAACTCCAATCTCTCCTAATACTGCTACGATATTACTTCTTGGTCTAATAAACACAACATTGACATCACTACGAAATACAATCATATTAGTGACATGCGACACAACAACCGATGAAGATACAATATGAAGGACGAGAACATGATAAGAAAAATGAAAACTAAAAATCATTAAATATCAGTAAAAATCAGTAATTAAGTTAAAAAGTTTATAATATAACACCTGATGACGGCTATATATAGCCGAAACATGTCGTAAATGTTCCACATGTAAATCGAGTACTCGATAAGGAACGTAAAATGATATTTTAATCTTTTAATTATCTTATATTGTGATTGACGGCCAATTTTAATATATTTTTAATATGCAATATTTTTAATTATTTTATGTCATGTTTTGTTTGTGTAGTAAGCATAAATAAGACATTAATTTTGATAGAAGTGTGACAGTAGATGATGTGAGTGTGTATTTGATTCTTGACTTGGTACTGATACATTTAATTTTATACCTGTGTATACTAGTCTGTAACTGTCCAGTATCAAGAACCACATCTTCAGTAACACACAAATGTGTGCTGGGAATTGTGATGTCATTGTCAACTCTTCTTCTTTTATAAGTCAATAACCAACCTCGCTCCGATACAGCCTACTTCTGATCTCTCCGCTTACAACTTCAATATTACTTCTCTGACCAATATACGCAACATTAACATCACTCTGACAATACGATTGGATCAACGATATATAACACAACAACAAATGTTGATACTACGTGAAAAACGAAGAAATGAAAGAAAATTATAAATTAAAAATTAGTAATTGAGTCAAGAGTTTATAACATACACCTGATGACGGCTCTATGAAAGCCGAAACATGTCGAGAATGTTCCATATGTAAATCGAGTACTCGATACGGAACAAAGGATAATATTTTAACCATCTAATTATCTTATATTACTTTATTGTGATTGACGGACATTTTAATATATTTTAATCTATCTTCTTCTTTTATATAGTATGAGTGAAATATGAATCTTGTTTGGGAGATTGTCCTGAGGTTGCTTTGTTGTTTTTTTTAATTTCCTCCATAAATTTGAATTGCTGATAAATTCAATATTGTGTTTCTCTTACCTACCTTATTTACTATCCAGATGAGTATAATTGAGGCATTTTCCTTGTGGGCTTCACAGACAAATTACAAAACTGGTCATTCATCTTCGTCTAGCACTGAGGTTAAGATTCTGTGGAACTTTACTTCTGCTGTACCTGCATGGCGTTTGGAGTTGTACTTAGATGCAGGGACAACTTTAACTTTTTATTTTAATTGTTATTTTTAAATTTGTTTGCATACAAAGTAGGATATTTTACATCTTGTGCTCTCATAACGTTCTTTACAGGTGTTGTATAAGTCAGAACTACAGGATCATGGCTTCTGTTGGAGAAATTAAAGCGCAGTGTCCCGCAGAGAGCATTGAGGCTCTTTCGAAGGAAGCTGAAACTTTGAAGGCAAAACTTGAAGAGGAGAGACAGAAATTAAATGATGTTGCATGTAAGAAAGATAATGACTCTTAAAACTTAGGTTTGCGTGATTTTCATCAGTCTTTCCAGGAAAACTCTGGAAAATTTCACTATTATGGACTATTTATTACCGCCTGAGTCCAAATTCTGAAAAGAATTAATATTTCTCAGCCGTCTCTTATTTCATGTCGTATGACATATGCAGTTTAGAAATTGTCATTAAGTAAACCTGATAGCGAGGGGGAAGAAATTATTTAGGAAATCAGTTACGTGCACAGTAAATTTAAAGTGATTTTATAGTTGTGGCCATGTGCCAAATAAGATATAGCAGAATTTTGATATGTTGTCATTCAGATGTCCATTGGATTTATGCCGTCTGTAGGCAAGCAGTGTTACTCTCGGTGTAGCGTCTGAAATCATAAAGGTAGATGAGAAGTCATTCAAAAATGTGGAAGAGTTAAAATATCTAGGAACATTAGTAACATTTCAAAATTGCAGTTACAAAGAAATAGAAGATATTTTTAATTCAGGAAGTTCTTGCTTCTGTTCAGTCCAGAATCTTTCGTCTTCCCATCTTCTCTTAAAAATGTTGAGATTAAAATGTACAGAACTATAATTTTATCTGTTGTTTTGTATGGGTGTTAAAGCTGATCTCTGATCATAAGGGAAAATCATAGATTGTGGTTATTTGAAAATTTGATGCTGAGGAGAAAATTTGGACACCTGAAGATTAAATAACAGGATGCTGAGAAAAATTGTTTAATGAAGAGCTTCAAACTCTGTACCCTTCGCTAAATTTTTTTGGATAATGAGATGTGCAAGATATATAGCATACATAGTAGAGATTGGGAATGCATACAGAATTTTAGTCAGGAAGCTTGGAGGTTAGACGTGGTTGGTGAATTATGTTAAAATTGAGGTTAAAGAAATAGTGTGTGGGTAATTTAACTTATTATGCTATGTGTTGGGTCCAGTGGTGTGCTCTTGTGAACATGGTCATGAACAGTGTGGTTCCATGAAAGGCAGATAATTTCTTAACCGGTTTAGTTTATTAGTTACAACCATCAGAAATTCTCTGTCTTTGCTGTATGGAATTTATGCAGTCATTTACAGAATGAAAAATGAAATTGTGTCTCACTGCAGTGTCTACAGTAGCTGAACGGCTCGAGGTGATTAATTACCTTAATATCAAGCCTCGTCGTGTTCTGAAAGGTCACCAGGCTAAAGTGCTTTGCTCTGATTGGTCACCTGATAAGCGTCACATTGTATCGTCATCTCAGGTAGTTGACCTTCTTATTTTGTTGTACCCGATCTTTTTGTCCTTGTGTAGGATTGTGAACGCACTAGTCATTAGTAACAGGTCTGGCAACTTACATGTTTTAAAGCTGAGAAACTGAGTGGATGTACTGTGAAAAAATGGAACTCCAAGCTGCAGTTGTGGCAGGATTGGATTACCATATTGTAAGTTGGGGAGGTCATGGCCCGAAGCACCATAGATGATGATGATGATATTGTACAGAATTGCTGTAAATGTCTGCCCTCATTTCTCGGATAAGTTTATTATGAAGGCTGTCGCCAAACGTCACCGAGTGGTCAACACTCCTGCTTCATAGGAATTCAGTGTGCTGGATATGTTTGATGTGGAAGATTATTCTAATCAATGGTGGAACTTTGCGCAGTCTTTGAGCCTCAGTCTGATCAGTTTTAACATTGTGGGAATTGGAATATCAGTTTCCTTCTAGTGGCCAGTTGTAATAATAATGGGGTTTAATGTTTCAGGATGGCAAGATGATAATATGGGATGCATTTACGACGAATAAAGAACATGCTGTCACTATGCCTACAACATGGGTGATGGCGTGTGCGTACGCACCATCAGGAAATTTGGTTGCTTGTGGGTCAGTTCATTTCATATTAGAATTTTGAACTTTGAGATGTGCAATGAATGGAACAGTACAAAGTATATAATGGCATTTTATTTGAGAAATTGTTTAGCTGTGAGTAACTTTGGCTTTTGGGGGTGAACCATGTAAAATGTTGAGTTGTATCCAACATTTCTGCAAACATTGCATTTTCCATATTCAGGGTTAATGTGTAGTGGTCGGGTGATCTTGGAAGCCGTATATAGAGCAGGAAATAACTAGTGAATTGGATTTGATGATACTGATTGGTGGAGCAGAAGAGTGGTTTGCTGTCCAGTGGGAAAAGAACACGTGCTCCGCTAATCAGCACCATAAAATCAACCAAAATCATCCACTCCTTACACATAACACAGTGTTGCCGAAACACTGGATAATTCTCAATGCAGCTCACCCCCAAAAAGTCAAAGTTGCAGAGCTAGATTTAACTCCATCTGTGAGAATATAAGAATAAGAATCAGTTAGCTAGTTGGTAGTAGTGTGTTAACATAAAACAGACTTTGCTGCAAGATTTTGACTGTGTTAAGAAGTGTCCAGTTTGTTACCATGAACTACTAAATACTTACCTTGTGACCAACCAGGAGTACGCAGTGGCCACGCGGTCTGAGGCGTGGGCCTTGTGCTGCTTGGTCACTGGGACCGTGAGTTCGAATCCCACTGAAGTCATCGATGTTTGTCTTGCGTTTTTCTGTGTTGTGCTGTCCTGTGTACAGGTAGAGGCCTTCTTGGACGGGCCGATCTCTCGTCCAAGGAGTCCTACCGAATGTATATAGATCAAGCCAACGAAAAGTTGGGACCCGCAGTACTCAGACACTTGAAGAACGGGTCGTTCCCAGTATCCCCCAGTATCCCAGTGACCAACCAACCAAAAAGCTAACTAAGGGCAGAGTCCTGCACAAGTGCAAGACATCATCTCTTGCTAGGTAACACCATTCCTGCATATGAAATACATTGCTGGAAATGGTAAAAAAGAGCCTTACAATTAAAACGGTGGTGTGTCTACGCTAATGGGGGGTTATTTTGCGGCAGTAGCCTTGACTATTCAAAGTAGGGTGTGTTACTGCTGATGAGAGATTATCCTGTCATGAAAAGGATTTTGTTTGGATGGTTCCCTGGGATTTGAACCCAGGAGGGACGGGATTGCTTTGGTTGAAGGCCTCTGCTACGTGGGTGGGAATCTCTTCAGCTGAGGGCCTCCATGGTTGGGGAGGGCGAACCTTGGTCCTTTTGAAGTATACCCTGGCCACCTGTAAGCAGCCTTTTTATTTGTGTCATGATGTACTGAACAGCACGTGTTCCTCGTTGATTATTAGTGTAGAGATGTTGCACCACGTAGTCTGGTAGAAGTTTACTGACATTTTATAAGTACTTGCTGCCACCATTATCATCTCACTCTGATGATGAAGGCAGTAAGCAGTTTCTTTTATGTGTGTATGGTGGATATGTTCAACCACTGTGCTTTGTTCTTGTCAGGGGACTGGACAACAAGGTGACTGTTTATACTTTAAGTCTCGAAGAAGATGTGTCAACAAAGAAGAAGACTGTAGGAACTCATACCAGTTACATGTCATGCTGCATTTTTCCCAACTCTGATCAGCAGGTTTGTTATTTAGAAACATGAGAAGTGTGGTTTGAATTTACCTACACCTTATAAGGACCTGTGGTGAGATCTTGTCAATGTGGTTATGAACATATGATTTCCATAAAAGGTAGTGAATTTTTAAACTAGTTGAGTGACTCAGTTTTTCTACAAGGACTCAGTCCCACGGAGTAATTTATTTAAGTCGTATGTTAACGATTGGTAATGCTTTGACTGAGCCAGTACGTCTCTATGAAAGCCAGGACAATTTATGTGGGATTTATGTAGCACTGGGTTACATTATCCTCCAAGTGCTTTGGTTGTTCCGTCAGTTGTGATTCCACTATTGGTCAACGTATAGTTGGGATATTTCGTAGGCTAAGGAACCATCTTATCATGGTACCCTTGGTCTGCAGTTGGGACTTCATCTGTATACCAGTTCTTTGTTGGACTTGGAATAAAGAAGTTAAGTTTTAACCTAAAAAGCAAATTCATATAGAATGATAGCAAAGGGGTCTGCAGTGGCCGCGCGGTCTGAGGCGTGGGCCTTCTGCCGCTTGGTCGAAGCCCACTCAAGCCATGGATGTCTCTCCGCGTTTTTCTGTGTTGTGCTGTCCTGTATACAGGTACAGGCCTTGCGACTGGCCGATCCTTCGTCTATAGATCAAGCCAACGAAAAGTTGGGACCCGCAGTGCTCAGGCACTTGAAGAACGGGTCGTTCCCAGTATCCAGTATGATAGCAAAACTAATTATAAAAATAAAAGTGTGAATTAGATGTTACTCTTTGTCAACACTGCCATTCCAGATTGCTAAAATTCATCATGATTTGTTGTGTTGACTATTACACTTTACATAATTTGTTCTCCTCTCTCTTGAAGACTTCTTAATCATATTTCTTCTTCTTTGTCTTCTGGGTTATAGCACTGTGTAGTCTGGTAGACGTGTACCAACATTTCAGAGATCCTTGCTGCCTCAATCATCAGGGTGGACTACATGGTGCTATAAACCAGCAGACAGCCACTGAGAGTGTAAAATCCTAATTATTCTTGTTCCCATTGGGATTTTGATTGTGGACAGTCATGTATCTTGTTATGGTACGTGCTTTGGATTCAGTTCTCAAGTGCAATGGATCATGGCAAGGTAATTTATTGCGTTGTCATCCATACAGATTCTGACTGGCAGCGGAGATTCTACTTGTGCATTGTGGGATGTGGAGTCGGGTCAGTTGCTTCAGAACTTTCATGGGCACACAGGGGATGTTATGGCCTTAGATTTAGCGCCGTCAGAGACCGGAAACACATTCGTGTCAGGGGTAAGAACCCTATTGCATTTTAAAATTCTTTATTGCTACAGCTGACTTCTGATAAATTGGTTTTAATGATTTTAATATTCTTTCAGAGTTGTGATCGAATGGTTCTAATTTGGGACATGAGAACTGGCCAGTGTGTTCAGTCATTTGAAGGGCATCAGTCTGACATTAATAGTGTCAAGTTTCACCCAAGTGGTGATGCAGTGGCCACGGGATCAGATGATTCAACGGTTGGTCTTTGATTTGAATTCCGAAAGACTTTTTTATGCATCATGTTGTGCATGCAAACAGGGCAGTGTCTTCGTTTTGTTATAAAATGTGGAAATTTACAGTTCTGCCTATTCAGTAGGCTAACAAAATGTAATTTTTTATGGGTTAGATACTGATAAATATTTGGAATAGTTTATTGGACATTGCAGTGTACTAATAAGACTATATCGTTTCATAATGAGAGTGGTGAAAGACTCATGGTAAAGTTATCTATGTCACACCATGAACAGCATTAGTAGAGTTGCCATCTCCCCCATACAGATAAAGCCACCACTACCCGCTGGATAGGAAGCTGAATGGACCTCAAAGCTGGTTTGGATGTGGCAAAGATAAAACTCGAACCCCTGCCGGCATTCAAACCACAGTAAACAAGTCCATAGCAGTGAGACTGTAGCCTCAGTAGGGATGTCGAAGTCTCTTGGAAGTGGTCATTTTTACCGTTATATTAGATTGTATATTAAACTTAATTATGATATATGAGTCTTGTCCATTTTCTTTAATCTGTATTGCTTAAAATATCTTTTGTACCTAAACATTTACATTAAGTCACATTTGTTTTTACATTTGACTTCTTAATGTTTATTATGTGGGAGTACGAGATATAAAGCCTTGTTCTACAGGACTGTCAGACAAACTTAACTCCTGGTTTAGCAGTTTATTTAAAACTATGCTGATATATCACATGTAAAATGCAACTCTCGGCCAGCTAAGGTTTGTAGTTCCTGCAAAATAGCGTGCTAGTCCTACCATGATAAATTGGGAAAAGAAATGTAATATTAAAAACAGGAATTTGCCTCCAATAATTTTTGTTCTTGGTCACTTACTTTGGCTTTTGTTGAAATAGGTGTGAACATAAGCCTGTTTGGTCTTTAGTCATAATATAGTACACCTTGTAGGATTTGGGGTTTTCACGGCAGTAAGTCTGAAGAGGTCCTTGCTGCCTGCATCATCGGTGCCTGATGATGGAGGCAGCAAGGACCTGTGAAACATTGGTAAACTTATACCAGACTACAGGGCACTATAACCCAGGAGACAGCCGTCTATAGTACACTTTTCAATTCATAACCTGTGATACAATCTTCAACTACTGCTGCTGCGGTGAGTTTTAAGAATAAATGTTGAGATCATTTTGCACGCATTAAAAATCGTTTCTGTTTGTCTGTTTGTAGTGCCGACTATTTGATCTTCGTGCAGACAAGGAAGTTGCAATTTATAGCAAGGAAAGTATAATATTTGGTGTAAACTCTGTGGACTTTTCAGTGAGTGGTAAGTTGATTTTATAAGGGCACTTGCTGTTGTAGATGACTTCTGCTTTGGTACTACTTTTTATCTGTATACTTCATCTGATTTTTAAAAATGACCGCTGTAAATTTGTTACTTCTCAGGGTCTCAGCATATTTGCTTGAAGAATATGGTACATATAACCTTTTCTACTCTCTTGCAGGACGTCTGTTATTTGCTGGTTATAATGACTATACTGTCAATGTATGGGACTCCCTGAAGTGTGTCCGAGTGACATTGCTTTATGGGCATGATAACAGAGTATCGTGTCTCCAGGTATCACCAGATGGGACGGCACTTTCTACGGGAAGTTGGGATTGCACATTACGGGTAATCACATAATTTTTTTACACAGAAACACATTGTGGGTTCTGGTCGAACGTCAGTATCGGGACTGTGTGAGCACAGTTTCTTGAACAATAATTGTTCGTTAATAATTGTCTCTACACCTCCAACACTTAGGTACACTGTGGATGCAATATCACACACTTCAATTTGTCTGTTATCCAAAATAACCTCCTCAACAGAACAAATGTTCAAATCTGTGACAGATTTTGTGCTGCATGGGACCATGTGGTCAGTTAGCGACCTGTTCGCATCCTTCGGAAAGTTTTTTGCACCAATCACACATACTTGCACATGATAAGGTATCTTTGCTGTACTGTGCACTTCGCCTGTTGAGAATTTGAGCCAATTTCACTTTCTCTTTTACCAGAATATGAAGGTACATTCATTGCTTTTCTACGCATTGAGTGACGGGATCTGACACCATTTTGTGCTGTTTCTAATACAAAGGTGTGGCCATGCGTGTGTTGCCACCAGCTGCCACAGAGGGAATTTTGTCATTTTGGTGCAGACATATCTTATAAAAAAGAAAAATTTGAAGGTCAACCTTGAACCACCCTTGTACACCAACTGTCCAAACAAGCATGCATCAAGTGACTAAAAGCTGATTGGCTGACGAGGGCACATGACAGTAGATGCGCAGAAGTGTCCAAAATTCAGATGCCATTGTTTGTGTCAGTCAATACACTGCTGAAGTTAGGATTTTGCGGCGCTCTGCAGCCATGTGCCCTGTATTTTTTCATGATGTAGCTCTTAATTATAGCATCGACTTTTCCTTTACCATGGTTTGTTTCCTGTACTGTGACGTATGCTGTTTCAGTTTATTAATTTACATGTTTATTTATGTGTCAGGTGTGGGCCTGAGCTGGTGCAGGCATCTTTTGAAGATACCAAAGAGAGTAAGTCATTTTTGTTGGGGGCGTTAAGCACTTCCAGATTAAAAAGAATTGTATTAGAATATATTTGTTAGGAACATGCTCACTATACATTTATATTTAATTCATAGTATTATTGGATATTATCATGGTGAGGCACAAACTGTGATTTTTTATTTTAAGATATTGCTGATGATATTTCATGTTACAATCTTGCGCACATCTGTTCTCGATGCTACCAGTAGTGTGTGTGGAGATGAGATTGTTGTTTAATTTTATGTCATCTACATAGTTTAGACTTTGGTGTTACAGATTATATACTGAATGGAGATGCTGTGATCTTTTGTGCCATATTCATATATGTTGGTCAGTTTTAGAAAGTCTTTTATCATTATCTTAATATGAGTGTTATCTAGTTAACCCATTCAACTCTTTTGACAAAATTCAGGTCACTGTGTGTGTATTTCGTTTAGACATTCATAGATGGCTCCCAGTTAAACATATGTCAAAAGTAGAAACACATGACTTCAGAATCCCCTGATTCTGATGCTGACTTGTGGATGTGACACCATTCTCTCGTGCAGAATGTTTTGGTAGGGCAGTTGACCATATATCTGTGTGTAGAGGGGCATTTAAATGAGAGGTGATTGGGTTAATACAGTTGAAGTTATTATATAGTTAAATGTACTATAAGAACATGACATTGAGTATTATATTTTTAAACATGTCAAGCTGCTGGTGGAAGTTCATCTAACTGGGTAAGTTGGCTGAGCACCATATCCGATTTGTATGTATGAGGTCTGAGTTTGTATCTTGGCCATTATACCAGCGTTTCTAACAGGTTTTCATTGTGTACGTGTTCTTCCAGATGAATAACAGGATAAATCCTTGTAATTTGTCATGACCACTTCATCCTCATCTTTTGTGGTTCATTGTCCCAAGGAACCTCAATACAACCTTCACTCCCTAACTCAATTTTGGAAACTCATTGACTAACAGTTGACTTATATTGGTTTGCTTGCTGTTTGGACGTACGAGACCGAAAAAGTATCGACATTGCACATGCTGACTTTATTTTGTTTTTAGTTTGGTAATGTTTTTCATTTGCATGGTGTCATTGGATGGATGATAATGAATTACATGGTCATTACATGTTTAAAGGTACTATACCAGAATTTTTCATGAAGGTACTGTAGAATGCTGTAGCAGATCTGTCAGGATAACCAGCCTCTAGGCTCAGATTCAAACCCATGATAGCGCACATAAAGTAGGAGTGCTAACAACTCAACTGCAATTTTCAGAGTTTTTCCATGAAATACTGTAATTCCAAATACAGTGACATGTTAATTTCGCATTGTTGTTTGGAACAGGGACCTAATATTATTGTTATTCCAACATTGTTTCCATTTTATATGGGTCAGTGGATGAAAATTCTTCAGTATCTTCCCATTGTGTGCCCTTTTAGTTTCTTGGTAGTGGATAGTAATGATGCTTTCAAATTGACAAAAAGCCACAAACTTGATATTATGATCTGTAAACTTACATTGTTCTCTCTAGTCCAATTCATAGTGTTCTCTTCTTACCACCCCATGGTCACGAAACATTTAGATGTTAGCGTACACTTTAAATTTCATGTTTCCATTCAGGTTTTGAATTCCCCCCCAATTAGCCTTTTGTTACATCCAATGCAGTTCAGCATAAAATCAAATATTCCTTGTTGTGCACATTTAAATTAAACTGGCATGACAAGTGGATCTAATGGCACAGAAATGTTTCTATGTCTGGTAGTGAATGTGGTTTTTTAAACATTCAGTGTCTTAGATCACCCGAAATCCAAGTAAATTTTTATTCAATTGACCAGTATTCTGGTTTTAATCTTTTTAAATTGTTTAGAAATCTCATTTTATAGTACTGTTTTATTCCAGATATACAAGTGTTTTCTGCAGAATTAGTTAATTACTAATCTCAATTTTTGTTCCTACTCCTACGATTGATATGAGATTAAATATTTAAAATGTATAATAAAATTATATATTAGAAATTATGTATATGGTTGGATTTATTCAAGCAATCTAATCAAAGGATGCTTTGTTGAAATCTGCCCAGAGTAATAGGCATTTATATATATAATAGTTGTGTTTAGAAGATAAAATGTGTGTCACCTTTATTAGAAACCTGATCTGCATTCTTCAGGATGCTGATCTGAAAATGTCTTTTGTATAATACACAAGTTCCAGACTCACTGCACATTACATTTAGAGATCTGATAAGAATTTATTTCCAAGTTGTATTATGTTGTTACACTCCAAGTGTTACCAGAAAGAATGTTACAATATAGAAATTAAAATGCTTATGTACAAAGTAAATTTGTATTACAATAAAGATTCTGACAAATCTAATTAAAACTTGTGCTGAATCATTACAGTTCTGAAGGTCTTCTGGGGATGGTACACTATGTAGTCTGGTAGATACTGACTGACAATTCAGAGGGCACTCATCACCCTGGTACTGGCGGCAGCAAGCTTCTCTGAAAAGTCAGTGTCCACCAGATTGCATGATGCAAAATCCCAGAACACAGACATTTCCATACTCACTGCCATGATAACCTGAAGTCTCATACTAGTTTTCTTTATAAACATTAGAGATGTTACTAAGCTACAATTATACCCACTGTTTTGTTTAGCCACTCAAGTAACGTTATCAGTGGGACATTGTGTAAAGCTTTCTATCAGCAGCATGTCTGTAAGATCCTTCACTACAATTGTCAATGAGAGGTCCTTATGTATAATTTTCAGATGCTGTCTCTATGGGCCAAAAGTAATGTTATGAGTGGGTTGCACATAATTACAGCTAACATTTGGAGGGTGTTGCTTTTAATTAGTTACTAGTGGGATGCTGAGTGTATGACTCATGAGTAATGTTATCACTGGAAAACTACCTGTAAGACTCAAGTAATATTGTCAATGGAAAGCTATCTATTTTGACTCATTGAGTAATATTGTCAATGGAAAGCTATCTATTATGACTCATTGAGTAATATTGTCAATGGAAAGCTGTCAATAAAAGCATATGTAATGTTATCAAAAAAATGCTGTCCATAACCAAACAGCAGTGCTGATACAAGTGAAAGCAAATCCAGAGTTAATAAAAATGAAGTGTGAAGCTGAATTTGCTGTAAACTTAAAGAATAACACACAGCAAAAGAGAAAAAGCATTGAGTCCCTGAGCTTGGAAATGTTCAAGTAATAAATTTAAAAGAAACAGAATACATTAGTAAGAGTGGACAAGTTAAAGAACAATATACACAGTTTTTGGAGGTAAGTCACATTATATTATTGTTTTGATACTGTTTGCACAAATTTCTAGTCCCAGGACACATTGCCCAGTGACTATGACTTTGGTATAACTTAAGAACATAAAAGTACATATGCATACCTGATCAATGTATCATTGTGATACAAATGTGAAAGAATTGGTTTAAAATTTTGTAACTGTCCCCTTTTGCTTTGTCTTACCTAGTGAGGTGAGGTGGTATATACTTATGGTTTGATCCTTAATAGGGTAAATATATGAATTTTAGTATGAATGTGTATCTCAGGGTATGAATTGTTCAGCTACAGTTGTCATGACAACCATCTGGCTACTCATTTGTCTGAGCCTAGTGTACTCTTCACTCAGTTTTAGTAATTTCTCTGACTGTTAATTTGCTTACAGTTTTTGAAAAACTTAGAAACACAGAATTTTTGGAGTTTATGTTTGTACATGCTATTTGATGTCATCTTAATGACATCACATAACATCTTAATTTAAACGTATCTAACTCTTGCAGTAACTGATCACTAAAGCCAAATTATTACCGCCATCCAAGTTACCTTCAGGTTGCTCCAACTTTAAAATTTGTATACAGCGAACCCACTGGCCCCTTAGCGCCTCAGTGGCATTAGTGTCTCACATCTGACATGAATCTTATTGGACTATCCAGAGTTCTCCTGTTGACAACCTCCTGACTAGCTGGCACCAGAATTTCCAGCTGAAATCCCTCTCAGAGCAGCCAATGTTGCACTAATTTCCACATTATGCTAAA